TAAATATATTTCTTCTATCGAGATACAGAATAGTTCATTGTACTCAAACAAAGTGAAATTAAAAAATGCCTTAACACACGAAATAATTACGCTTGCCATTAGTAAACAAACTAAAGTAACAGATTTTATTCAGAAAATAAATGTTAGTTTTTATTTTTATCGTGCACCTATTTAATTAATGTAAAAATAATATAAAATAAAATTATTGAATTTATTTATCTATTGAAAAAAATGTTTTCCTCTAAATAGCGGACAAAATTTCGGCGACCGAGAGTTATCCGCTATTCAGAGGTTTCACTGTAATCATATTAGCACCGTCGCACCGATAAGACGATAACACAAACGTTGAGACGTCACGAACATGTTTCGTCCGTCTAAACTACTACACTGTATTTATGTTTGATTATTTTTAATTTATAAATTAACATTTGTAGTACAAATGGCAAATGCACATTACAAATACAGTTCATATTACATTTTATAATTATGATTTTTCTGTTAGGTAGGGCCCCATATAGTCATGCAGATAAGGGGGCCTCACTGGCTAATGCCAGTCTGTTGCATAGGCCAGTCCGACCCTGGGGCTTGTACAATATAATATTAGTTTTCCTGATTTAAAATGGGTAGGAACATTTGTTGTTTTTTACGTCGAAAAAGGTACACATTTATCCAAAAAATACCTAAATAATATGCAAAATTGAATGTAACTAGTTCCAAGTCATAATATGAAAAAGTCATTACCATCCTAACCCTACTTATAACTCATAGCTGGGTACATAACATCGATGTACCTACCTATTATAAAATTATATATTCCTCAATATACACTGTTTATACAGCACAGGTACAACATTTCTGTATGTAATGATAATTTTTACTTCAAAATAATAATAATATAATAGAAAAGGCTTGAATTTTTTGGGGTGCAAAAGTTGAAAAGTTTCTTGTGAAACATCCTAGTTGCGCCAATGTGTATATACTTAAGTAGCTTACATCCCCCCCCCCCTCAAGAGTGTTGGCATGGAGCAAAATTTGCATTTAATGCTCCTTTTACATCTAGTTTAATGTAGCTAATTTTATCCCATTTTATGCCCTTTCAATATTATCTATTTGTTACGACTGACAGTCAAGTGAAAAAATACAAATTTGTTTAACATTTATACTCATGAATAATGATGAGCGATAATCATGCACATACGTAGGAAATAGAAATCGGGGGGTGGCTACACCCATTTCATTAACCCCCCCCCCCCCCAAAAAAAAAAGGAAAAAAAGAGGATAGCTTTTTAATTAGCTGGGATTGAATTCCACCATGATGTAAAAAATGTTAACGCGACCCCCACCCACCCCCTGAAATCGTAATGGACTTCCGCTGATGACCTTACAATAATGCAATCATGAATGATATCAGTATCGTCATTCGCAATCTTGAACGATTTAATGAATTTGTATGGATTATGAGCCGCTTTCACGGTCGACGGTCAAACCAACATCGTCTGTGGCCGGCTTATCGTGTATTGGCATCTGCAAGTCTGAACTCTGAACTAGCTATATTTTGTTCCGCGTACGTCGTTACCCATACGGGTTATTTTCGGGTTCAGCTGGACTGCCCCAAACGAATTCTCCGGGTCTCCGCAATCATTATATTATTATTATTATTATTATTATTATTATATTATACTCCGATCGACATTTCGTGCATTCGCCGTGCCGAGCGTGGCATACTGATTACTGTAGTTTACCGGCATTCGTGCTTTGGTATACTGATTTCCGGTATTCACTATTCAGTATTCGACATTCGTAGTTTTCACTTTTCACTCACCACCGGTCGCAGACTTACTCCACTCCGCAGTCGGTGTGTCCAAAACTCACTATTCGCATTCTCTCATCAAACGCCCGACGAACACGTTTTTGTATCGCAAGACGTATTGTATATTTTTTAACATCATTCCATTCACCTTTTACAGTTAACATGGTAAGATTTATCTATTTATTTTTTAACTATAACAACCACGACTTATTGTCATATTTTGACAAATGTTTTACATATTATTAAATTATAAACGGAACTTAAATTTACGTTATTTCCATGTGATTAATCGTTGATTAATAATCATTAGACATATTCACCGCTTGACACGTGCTTATAGAAAGATTAACATTCTTAATATTATTATTATTATTTGTACATTTAAACCTTAAACGCATTGGGCTATTAATCTTTCAAATTTTATTATATTTTAATGAATAAAAGAAAGCAGCTTCTAGTATTCATTAAAAGCTTTGGTTGTACCTATTTGTGGTATACGTATTATAAATCATACTAAGTATTAACTGTGTAACATGTATTAATTTTGTTTTTAGAAGGTTGTAATCGGGCTTGTAATAAAGTTCATTAAAATAGATATCATCAAATTTTTATTTTTTCTTGTATTCGTTAAAATCATTGTACAAACTAAAATTTGCATAAGCAATTACTTTTATAAATAAAGAAACAAATTATCAAATAAATATTATACTTAAAACAAATATACTTGCTATTAAAATATTACTTTAACAACAATTAATATCGCAAATGAATAAAGCTTTTGAATTATTTAATTTCATAACATAATATTATTTAATTTGCATGATAAGAGCCCATCATTCCTGAGTACCTATCTTCTATTGTTAATTATTCTGTATGCATCTTTAACATTAATCTTAAATACTTAAATCTATTTATTGGTACTCATCTATTTGATATTAATGTATTCGAATAAATATCTTGTGAATTGAGCTCACCCTGTTTTCGAATATAAATAAATAAAATATAAATAATTCATTTTAATTGCCGAAAATATTTATTTTCGTCTATAATGTCTCGTTTATGGTTTTTCCAATTGGCATCATCGTGATCATGTGCATTTTATCGATTTCACAGTTTTAATAAATAGCGCAATCAATACAACTGCAGGTTATGTTATATAATATAATATTTATTATTTAATTGTTATGTAAGACGGTAGCAAGATTTGTTTACATTTGCAATTATTATGCTAGTTAGATTTTGAATTTTGATTGATTTATTTATTAATCGAAGTTTAGCAAAACTGTATTGCCAGTATTTAAACATTTTTATAAGCTATAATAGTCTGGCAGGTGTGCCGTACACACAGCATAGGTGTTAAGTATTTGGGTACACACCATACACTCCACAGTATTAAACATTAAACAATGGCAACATTTTATGATTATCGATGCATCGTCGTCATCTTCGGCATTCATCAGAACTAATAAAATTACAAAATGCTTAACCTAAGTGCCTTCACATTAATATTTCATATATTTTATTTCAAAACTACTTACAATAATACTACAAAATATTTTTTTTTTCAGTCAATAATTGTTAATTATTATAAAATATTTTATTTTTATTTATTTAATATTATAAACATATTGTATTTTTGGGGCTTTATGAACATTCACATGTCTTGATATTTTAGCTTACAAATTATAAAAAAAAATAATAATTTGTAATAAGTGAAATTCCAAACTACACTACACCTATAAAAATAGTACCTAGCAGTCCACCTATTGAAAAAAAATGGTGGCTCTAAAAACCTAGAGTCAAAATCTTCAGTTACTGTAAAGTTTTCCTATACAAAAATATTTCAAATCCGTTTAAGTAAGATACTAAAACCAACAAATCTACTCTCTCCAAAAAAATATTATTCTTAAATAAGTAAATTTTATTTAGATTTGTTTGCAATAATTCATCAATTATAATGATTGACTAAACAAATTATCTTAACAAGTCTTTTGATTTTAGCGTGAATGTATCTCTGTGCACGTTGGTCAAGCAGGAGTTCAAATTGGTAATGCTTGCTGGGAACTGTATTGCTTAGAACATGGAATTCAACCTGATGGTCAAATGCCATCTGATAAAGCCAATGGTGATGACAGTTTTAATACTTTTTTTAGTGAAACTGGCTATGGTAAACATGTTCCAAGAGCTGTTTTTGTTGACTTGGAACCCACTGTTGTTGGTAATATATATTTTATGATATAACAATTCAATATAAACAATTTTAATTTTTGATTTGAATATAATTCACTATTATCGTTTGTAGATGAAGTACGCACAGGCACATATAAACAACTTTTTCATCCTGAACAATTAATAACGGGCAAAGAAGATGCAGCCAACAATTATGCTCGTGGTCATTATACTATTGGAAAAGAAATTGTTGATGTTGTACTGGACCGTATTCGAAAACTTGCTGATCAATGTACTGGTCTCCAAGGGTTCTTAATATTCCATTCATTTGGTGGAGGGACTGGTTCTGGTTTCGCATCATTACTCATGGAACGTTTAAGTGTTGATTACGGCAAGAAAAGTAAACTTGAATTTGCCATTTATCCTGCGCCACAAGTGAGCATTTTAGAAATAATCATGCACCTTGATTATTATTTATTATTAACTTACAAAACTTTTATTATAGGTATCCACAGCAGTAGTTGAACCATACAATTCAATTTTAACTACTCATACGACTCTTGAACATTCTGATTGTGCTTTTATGGTTGACAATGAAGCAATATATGATATTTGTCGCCGAAATTTGGATATTGAACGTCCTTCTTACACCAATTTGAACCGCCTCATTGGACAGATAGTGTCATCTATCACAGCTTCATTGCGATTTGATGGAGCTTTGAATGTTGACTTAACTGAATTCCAAACAAACTTGGTGCCATATCCAAGAATACATTTTCCTTTAGTTACATATGCACCAGTTATATCAGCGGAGAAAGCTTATCATGAACAATTGTCTGTTGGTGAGATCACTAATGCTTGTTTTGAACCTGCCAATCAGATGGTTAAGTGTGATCCTCGACATGGTAAATACATGGCGTGTTGTATGCTGTATAGAGGTGACGTTGTGCCCAAAGACGTAAATGCTGCAATTGCTGCAATAAAAACTAAACGTTCAATACAGTTTGTAGACTGGTGTCCAACTGGGTTTAAAGTGGGCATCAATTATCAACCGCCAACAGTAGTACCAGGAGGAGATTTAGCGAAAGTGCAACGGGCTGTTTGTATGTTGTCCAATACTACAGCTATTGCTGAAGCATGGGCTCGTTTGGATCATAAGTTTGACTTGATGTATGCTAAAAGAGCTTTTGTCCATTGGTATGTTGGTGAAGGCATGGAAGAAGGAGAATTTTCTGAAGCCAGAGAAGATTTAGCAGCTTTAGAAAAAGATTATGAAGAAGTGGGTTTGGATTCAGTCGAAGGCCAATTTGATGAAGGCGGTGAAGATTTTTAGTTAAAAAAAGAAAAACTATTTTACTGTATTACTTGTGAATAATAACTTTGTATTAACAATTATTACTTAACATATAATTTATGAAAACTATATTCTATTAAGCAATAATTGTCAATACAAATATATGTAATAAAATTATTTTGAAAAAACTGGCACTATAAAAACATTTAAATAATGTGCAAGTTATTTTATTTTTTTAATGTTTCAAATACATTTAATGAAAAGCATTATTTTAATTTTAAATGATAGCTACAATTTTTATTTAGATTGTTTTTTACTTTGTAAAATAATTAAAAAATAAACACCAATATAACTTATTAAACATTATGTGCATTATATATTTTCATCTCATTGAGTATGGTTTATCTTTTTGCTACAGGTTAATTACTTTAGCCATTACATAGACTAGCTGGTCAACAGGCCGCAGTTGTAAAACAATTAATCAGTAATATCAACTTATGCCATTTGGCATTTTCATGATAGTAAATGGTAGCAGCCTTTAGTTTTAGTTTTTACTTATTAATAGCTATTAATGAGAAATACACAATTCAAATATGTACCACTCTATTACAATAATAAACGGTAAGTAATGACTGATTTTAAATAAATAGTCCACTAAATCAATAATACTCATTTATTTGCGGCAAACAATACCAGTTAACAACAAAAAATATTTACATATTAAATTTATTTTTAAAAAAGCGAGATTTGAAAAATACTAAGGCGACTATGCTACACTACAAATATTCCGCTAAAAGCGCTAGTAATCTAGAGAGGTTTTTAATAAGAACATTTAACCACAGATATATAGAATAAATATTCTATATATCTGTGCATTTAACGCGGTTTTTTCTATCAATTTCTGCTCATATCCATCGTGGTGATAAATTAATAACATTATTGGTATTTGATAGCACTATCACTAAAATAATAAAAATTAAAAATATAAAATTTATTTACTTTAGTTTTAATTTAAATAACGTTTTAAATTAAAATTTCTTTTTTTTTAATGTATTATATCGTAGTATAAACTCACAGTTTAATCAACATTTTTAAAATGTTCCGATCAAATACTGCTGTTTTTCTATCTCATTCGTTATGCCATAAACATGTGCAAATAGTTCATGTACGAACTAAAAAAACGCATTGGGTTAGTATTATACCATATCCATACAGTATTATTATTAAGAAATATGATTAATTTTTGTTAAAATTTGTCTGTATTATATTACCTGTATTTCAGTCTTCAATCAAGAAGAGAATTCATCCAAAAGATAAGGCTTTAGAACACTTTGATGATTTTTATGGTTCAGTTTATGGAAAAAGATGGAGATCAATACGATTAGCTCTGTTGTCACCACACAAATATATAGCTATTGTTAATAATTTTGGTGATTCCGAAAAAGTTTCTCAACAGTTAGAGGTAATAATCTTTTTGGAATAATTGTATTCAACCAAAAGTGTCAGTGTTCTAATATATTGAATTGAACTATAAATGTAAATAGATAAATAGTTACTCTGCCATTGGGATTTTTTAATATATTTAATCCATGTTTTCAGTGGTTAGGAGCGATGAATATCAGAAAAGTAGTCGAAGCACAATTGCTAAAAGCCGAAGAGTCCACCAATGAAAAAAATATTCAAGAATTAGATAAGAAATTGAAAAAACTTTTATTAACCGATGAAAATGAACTTGACACAAAACAAGAAAAGTAAGTATTTAAGAATTATAATTGATGGTAAAATTTTTTTTTTTTATATACCTAAAATATTTAAAGTGCAGAATATGTGGAAAAAGCATCACTTCACCAAAGCTTATTAGAAGCAGAACATGACGAAAGTAGAATAATTGACCCTGAAGCAAATTCTAATATTGGAGGATTATATCAATTTATACCAGCTACTGAGCTTCATGGCAAAAGTGATTGGATTCCAGAATCCCAACATTACCAATACTATGAAGAAAATTCAGATTTCCCAATTAATATATTAAACGAAGAAAGTCCTCTTAACATTCCACCTCACTTACAAGTGTTTACATTTGATAGAGGTGATTTTTCTCCATTTCCACATCCTAAAACTGGAGTTACTAAAGTCAGTGGTGAGATATATAAAAAATGATCCATTTATTAGGATTTACTATTTTTTTTGCAAATGTTTGTGATATTTACACTTAGGTTTTTTTTCAAATGTAATGTTTAAGTATGTAGTCTTATTTTTATAAAAAAATATCTATTCATATTACAAAAGTTAACTTAAAAAATTTTTGTAGCCAACTATCTTGGATCTTGTATTGTATAAAATATACTATTTTAAAATAATGCAAATTGTAGGAAAGAAATAAATAAACATGTTTATTAAACAATTATATTTGATTTAACTCTAGGTTATTATTTAATGGACGGAGGCTCAATTTTACCTATATTTGCATTAGATTTAAAACTTGGTGACAGAGTATTAGATATGTGTTCAGCTCCAGGTGGTAAAGCATTAGCAACACTACAAACATTATTACCCGGTTAGTTATTCTTATTATTTATTTTACTCTACTTTTATTAATAGCGTGTACAACATAATAACTGATATTCATGTAATAAAAAAATAATTGTTACTATAATTTGTTAATATTTTAGAATCATTGGTATGTAATGATATTCAAGAATCCAGAATTAAAAAAATACATAATGTTATGTCTGAATATATTTCTGACTATCAAAGTTGGGGCTCACGTCTAATGTTTACACAAATGAATGCGCGAAACATTAATGAACCAGATGTATACAATAAAGTAATTATTTAAATTGTAAATTTAGTTGTTGTTATGAAAAAATATTGATTTTAATTCAAGTATTTTGGATTCTGAGTAAGGGGAAGCTGATATTGGTTTTACAATGTTTATTTTTTTTTTTTAAATATTTTGTAGAAGAATTAAGCAAGCATAAAATGTTTTTAGACAAATCATTGTTACTCGTATTTCTAGGTAAACCAAGATCTGCCGAGAATATATTTTATTAATTTTAAGTAGGCTTGGTATTTTATTCCAATTATTTAATTATTTTCCAATAGAAAATGCATTAATCTAGTAGAACTAGGTTCAAGTTTTATCGACTTATCATTATTTTTTTAACTTAGACAAACACTAAACTTCTAAAGTGCATATTTTTTTTTTGTAAGCAATTGGATAGAAATTTGATTGTAGTAATTATTTGCCTAAAGAAAATACATAAGTAATATTCTATTTGTTTATTATTACAGATATTAGTAGATGTCCCATGTACAAACGATCGTCATAGTTTGGAAAATGATGAAAATAACATGTTCAAACCTACTCGTGCTAAAGAGCGTTTAAAATTGCCTGAAATACAAGCTGATATTTTAAAGTAATAAATACTTATTACGTTAAAATATATTGACATTTCATTTAATAGAACACTTTTTTTAAGATCTGCTTTAATGAACATCGCTGTGGGTGGTACGGTAGTTTATTCTACCTGTTCTTTATCACCCATACAAAACGATGGTGTCGTCAAAATGGCTTTAAAAAAAATATGGGAAGAAACAAACCATCAAATTATTGTCAAGTATGTATTTTTCAATCAAAAATAATAAAAGTTTATTGTTAATATTTATTTTATTGTTCAGGGACTTGACAAAGCAATTTGAACCTCTAAAATCTTTGTACTCATTTGGCAAAGGGCTGAAATTTGGTCAAATGGTTATGCCGTTTTTACCACTCAACTATGGACCATTATATTTATGTAAATTAGTTAGAGTAAAATAGTTGTTGACAGATGTATGCTGGTTTAATTTTATGTTCTTAAAATATTTTGATTTGTGAAAAAAATATTTTGATTTTGTAAAAAAATATAGTACACTTTAATACTAAAATATTGCTTGATTATCGTAAAATATGAATATCCTTCTGTTGATTAGAATTAGTTGTTGGATTTGCACGACCCCAAGACATTCCAATAAAATAACAATGTATTTAGAACTAAATATTAAATTATATTAATTATATTTAATAGATATTTTTATAACCCTGTTGAAATTTAAACACTATTGAGGACTTGGATAACTTATAATTTACCATTTTCGTTATTTTCTGTGTTTCAATATCTGTATAGGTAGATTATTTATTTGACTTTTGACAATTCATGATATGTAATTTTATTGTATGTATAGGCTAAGCAGCAATTATCCGCTGTGAGTATTTTTGGGATTTTTAACATTATAGATCAGTAACACAAGGCATAGTAAACATAGGGATAATATTTTATGGCTCCATCACTCATATTTTTTTTTATTTTTGAGTTCAGTTCTTCTCTCTTTAACACTTCAGCATTGTCCACAGTGAATGATAAAATGTATTAAGTACAGCCATGTAATCATGTAAGCTGTAAGGAATAGATAATTTCTAACACCAACGACTATTGTCACTAGTGCTACACAGTACACACCTACATGGTGACGATCGCCGAACAGAGTAATTACACAGAATAATATAATTATTATATTAAATATAATCATATAATATTAATTTATTACTCGTTCTATGCCGTTGCGAGTCTACTGACCAGTGACCACTGACTATGGACGAGTGGACGACTGAAGATTTTAAAACCATGGGCGGGATCTTTGGTTATTGATAAGACAATTGATTAGATAACAATTAAATTAAATTTTTGAGGAGTAAGTTGTCAGATTAGTCATCACACGGCTGTTTATTGTTGTTGTTATTTGTTTTTGTTGTTGTTGTTGATATCTTCTGGCTGCTGCTTGGAGATTACGATTTACGGTTTTGCGGTAGCATACGCACTACACACCCGACACGCTGAAGTGTTGTAACCTAACTACTAACCGTAATAATATAGTAACTTCGCATATTGCTTTTGCTATTATTGTTATTGGTCATCGTCGTCGTCTTGAGTGCATCATAAATTGCGTGCCCGGCGAAATGACTCGGAGTTAGTGTGCCGACCACGGCCGCCGCCGCCAATGGTCGTCGTCTTTGACGGGGGTGTGGTACTGGCGGTGCGGCAGCCGCAGTCGGAGTCATAGACAAGTATACTACTTCCGCTCGAAGTAGGAACGCCGCCACCGGCGCGCGTATTAATATTGCCCTCGAACGGTTGAAGTGCCCTCCGCCGTGGCCGCCATGTCCGAGAAACAGCCGTGCACTTACCGGCAAACGCGGTTTCACCGATTCCATGGTTACAACCTGAGCCTCCACGAACAGGACACTGTGGCCCACCGGGAGATGAGCTTCGCTAACGCCATAGTGTTCAGCGAACAGTCGCTGTCGCCGGGTGAAGTGTTCCTCATCGAGATCGAGAGCAGCGAAAACGGCTGGTCCGGACACATACGGCTGGGCCTGACGCAGCTCGACCCGGATGCGCTGCAGCGCAGCGGCCATCTGTTGCCACAGTGCGCTATACCGGACATGGTGTCCAACAAGGCCATGGGTGAGTCGTGGATATGTGCTCTCACCAAACACCAGGCTTGGTACGACGCCAACTACCTTACCAACTACTTCCGACTGGATGGTAATCATGTATTCACATCCCGGGGTACGTTTCCGACCAGCATTCTGAAGTCTTCGGGCGACGAAAAAATGGACATTTTGCCGACGGACGTGGGCAGTCGGGTCGGGGTGTTGTATTTGCCCTGTGGTCAGAACATGGCTGTTATGCATTTCATTATCAACGGTGAGTTTGTCGTTCCACTTTCGAGTACTATACCGTATAACGATGGTCCTATCAGAGCAGTGATTGATGTGTACGGTGCCACTAAACGAGTCCGTGTAATACAAGTATATAACGGTAAGATGTCTGTTAATAATAAATATGTGTTCCCCGCATAATGTTAATCAATGTGTGTAGAAAATTTAGTGACCAACACAAAATATTAAAAATGTTAAATATATGCACATTACTTTTTCTGCACATTTCATCCAATGCTTATTGTGGTATTGTAAATTTGTAAAGGTTGAATTTCGAGAGTTGTTTGTTTAGATTTTAGACTGTACCTCCTTCCTTTGTTTGGTTTGAAATTATTACTGTTGAGATAAATATTGTACATTTGTTGTTCACTGCATAGTTCTCAACTAAAATGGTTCATTCAGCTTTATAGTTTTTCTAATGACTGCCAGATAAATATGAGTGAACTGTATAATCACTCTTGCATTATGTATAAGTAATTATCATGAAACAATTTTTTTGTTTTTAGTTAATTCGTTGCAGAGTGCGTGCAGGGAAACTATTCTGAAGAATATCAAAGCAGCATCCGTATCAAAATTACCATTACCCAATGCTCTTAAAGAGTATCTCCTATATAAGACTTAATCGGTGATTACTATTCTAAGTTTTAACCCTAATTTTAGTTTCCAAGCTGTAATTGTATTTTTTTCTACCATTACTGTACATTTTAAAATTAATTTTATTATTTTTATTTTGTGCCCAAACAGAATATTATGTGCAATACCTATATGATGTTTAATATATATTTTTTTGTTTTGTTCGTCAAGAGTGTTGTTTATTATTTTATTAAATAAAAACTGTGTATAAAGTGTATCTTTGTAACAAAACAAACGTCTATTTTTTCTGAAAGAACCGTGTTGTTAAAAATAATTACATAGAATTCATTCCAAATGTAAAAATCATAATGATTTGACAATAGCTTATGATTTATTAACTGGTATTTATTGAATTTAAAGGTGTTATTTAGATGATTTTAAATACATAATATAGCCTCATGATTTTCACTTCACTTGTTGAATTAAAAATAACACATCTAATTTAAATAAAAGCCCAGGTTTATGCTCTAATGAGGGTGGATCATGAAACTCTGTTGATAGGAATTTTGGATAATGCATCATGACAGCCTTTGACTGGAATCCACGCATTGTTTTGACTGTTGAAATCCAACTACAAAACAGGTCTAATGACGCAACCAGTTGAAACAACTGTCTAGAAGTATGAGTTTGGATTTCTGATTTAATGGAATGGCAAAACTCTGTGCATGATCCTCCATTAGTTCTATGATAGTTTGATCACGTATTGGAACAAAACTCTTTTATTTTTTATTTTTCAATGTTCATCCAATTTGCTGTAAATAAATATTATTATGGCATATGACGTAATTTAAGGTTAAATAAATAAATACATATTATTGACATAGATAAGTTGCATTTATTTAACCAGATATTTAACTAAAGATCTAAACAATAATGTAAAAATAATTTTAAATAATAATAATTAATAATACTAAAACATAACATACATTTTAATACATGAATCAACAATTGTAAAAATTGTGGAACAAAAGCTAAAAACCAGTTTAAAATTTAATAATACATACAACTAATAATTTTTTTTTCTAAAAATGGTACATAAACGTCCTTACAATCATTCAATAACACATAATATCTAAAACCGAACAAAAACATTTGGCATGTATAACATTTTAACCAAATAATTTTTAATGTTCAATTGTAGGTTAATATTAAAATGATAACATTTTTATAAATAGGAAGTTTGAACAAAGGATTCGAACTGCTACATATTTAAATTGTATTATAATTCATATTACATTATATATAATTAAATATAAATGAATAGGTACCAATAATTGTTACTAAAGTACAGTCTTAAAAAAAATGTATAAAATAAAGGCATGTTTGTATTTGGAATGATTTTTTCTTCAAATTTACACTAATTCTAAGAATCGTTTGTATTACTACTTTGTGACATTTGTGTACTATTGACTTTAATATCAGGAGGCAACAAATCTTTTTTGACCTGGATACGTTGTTTGAATCCTGCATAAACTCTTCGTTGCTGCATTGGAGACTGTCCATTGTGTGTTATGTTACTTCGAATTTCCATAGACTTTTGTGGTGGTATTTTTACCATTTTTTTGGAAGTTTGTAGAATATTGTAAGGGCGGTACCGTACATTTATTGATTGATTTTTTGGAGATTTATTCTGAATTAAGCCTAAACCTAATTAATAAATTTAATTAATTTTAGTTTTTAAATAAATGTATTAATTATACAATACTTGAGGGAATATTTGGCACTAATTGTGGTTTTGGAATATTTTGCGTCAATTGTGGTTTTGTAGCTTCTGGACTTTTAGGGCTTCTCACTTCCTCAGGATGATCGTTGTCATCTTCAATTATTTCAACATCAACGTCATCATCATTTTTTTCAACTTTAATTTCATCATCGACTAAAATTGTAATAATTGAAAAGTTAAGAGTACATAACATAAACATGTTGTATTTAATTTTTTATAGTAATATATGGAACTGGTGCTTTAATTTTATTCACATTATGCAAAAGGTTATGAAGTGTTGAAGATATATTATGATACTGTGATATCCTTAGACTGGATGCCATAAGTACAGATTCTGATTGTGCATACCTCATATAATGTTATATTCAGCACAAAAATACAATTTTAAGACTAATTTGTACTCTCAGAACTTTACTGAATAACCAAAATAAACTTGCTAAAAACAGCATAACAGTGGGAATAGTTAGGCTATGACACCTTTCAACAAAATCAATTTTTGATAATTGAGAAAGAAATAATTATTGTAGACTTGAAATGTTCACCAATTAATAATAATATTACATTATACTTCCAAAATAATTAGGCATTTGACATTTTTTTTATTCAATACATGTTGATAACTTAAATAAAGTAACAGAATTCGCCAAAAAGTGCCATTTTTACCATAAAGCTATGACATTTTCAAAATGAATAATCATTTAATAGAAAACACTTAATTATTCAAAGATATTAGAGTAACTTAAAATATGTACTGAAAAATGAATAGTATGTAACATGAGAACTGTGGACATGTCACACGTATACTTAAAATAAGTTAAATTACAAAATTATCTAAATGTCTACTTCAACTTAGTATAGCAAGTATGTACTTACAGATTATTTTTCTTTTGATATGTTTTAAATTGTTACAATTAAAAATTAAGATTGTTTGAATTGTGATTTAAGAAAAAATTCATAAAAATATTAATGTATGAGGAGACACTAATAAAAATCTAATAGTTTAATCGAAACACTGATCAAGTTATAGTGCTTTGTACAGGGTACATGCCTATTGGAATCATTCAGCATACTGTACTCTGTCCAGCGAAAGAACACGCCAGGCACTGACCAAATCTGGTTCCTCCCCACAACACCCTACCATAGGTAAACTGGTTTTGTAGGCGGGATGAGGGATACTCAAAACTGGTGCATTTCCTTGCTGGACACAGTATATATGAACATTGTAGAATGACACAAATTAGCATTGTACACAGCTAACATGTTGAAAAACAAAAAAAATACAAAATACAATTTATATTATGGCCTAAATCTATGAAGCATGAAATAAGTGTAAAGCTACTCATCAACAAAATTCTGACTCTATTGATAAAATTTTTCAATTTTATTTCTTTATTAAAAAGTTTGATGATGTGATGTTTTAAACATGAATTCCAAAATTATAGTTGTGCAATGTGCACCATATTTTATTATCATAATTATTTTATGAAATATTGTATTTAATAATACTTTTTGGGATAGGCAGAGTTGGTTGTCGTGAGGTGGCTGGAGAAATATAGCTTTCAATATTCTTATGTAAATTGTCATCTATTTCTTCAAAATCATCATCAGCACCACTGTCTATTTTCAATTCGTCATCACCTGAAAATTAATTATAACTCATGTTAATTTGCATTAAAAATATGTATTAATGATTCATACTCATATCTGAGTCACTGGAAGTAACTCGTTTAGCATTTTCAATAGGGTTACCCTCTCGAATTTTTCTTAAGGCTTCTGGAACTTTGTGAGGAGGAATACCAGGAATGTCAGGCATGTCAGCAATAAATTCACATTCAAGACCATTACTATCATCATCATCATCATCATCTTCGTCATCATCTTCCTATTGTAAATTAAATAACATTTAGATAATTAAAGTGTTAAAAGTTATATTAAGTATTTACTACACACAAAAATAGAAAGTATTTGAGTTTATGTATATTTACGTACAATATATTTATTTCAAGTTTATAAATGCTTACATCCACTATCCTCCCTCCATGTGTCATAAGTATTCTGAATTCTTCATCCGAAATATCGTTGTGTTTAAGTTTAATTCTAGGAGTGGACATTACTTTAAATTGCTTGGGTTGATTTGTTGTATTTGTCTCTTCAGTAACGCACGGATCAACAGATTTAGAACTTCTAGGACCTTCTCCTCCTCTTCTGTTTAATTGCTAAAAATTTAAAATGCAATTAATAATTATTAAATAATTTCAAAAAGAACAATTAATTTTGTTTTACAGCAATAATATTAGTGTTTGTCAGTGATTCATGTGGTTCACTATATTCAGTATATTTGAGTAATACTTGGTCCATGTCTGTACTAGCGTACTGGTACAACTTGTTGGACTTGTTGAAAATAATGATTGCTACTTCACAATCACACAATACGCTTAATTCGTAAGCTTTCTTCATGACACCAAATTTGCGTTTGTTAAAAGTCACCTATACAATTTTATAATTAACATTAAGAAATTAATAGAGTAATTGTGAAAATTATAATGCTACATACATGACGGTTTCGTTCGTCCGTGATTTTGGATATATTAATTTTCTTTCGTCCCATGATGCACAATTAATAATGGCAATTGATTGTTACAATTTAATCTTCAGGGTTCGAATAATGGAACAATCCTGTAATTGCAATTTACCATCAAATATAAAAATAGTTAATACCAGACAATAATTAATATAAATAAAAAGCTTTGTGATAACAAAAATATATATTACGCTTAAAAGCTTAACAATATTAAATAAATGAAAAAATAATGATGGTGTCCTGACGTCCTGCTGTTAACCGTATGTTCTGACAGTTAGGTAGCTGGTGCCTGGTACCAACAATAGTTAAGAGCACTTGAATATCAAACTGCAGGCAATAATTCCTCTTATTTAGGACTGTTGGACATTTAAAAAATAAATATTAATAATAATAATATTAGGAAAATACCTGTACGAAAGTATTAAAATAGCTTCCTGAAACGTTTAAAATTAGAACTTGGTTTGTCAAAATTAAAATAGTGCATGTCTTATTTTGATATTTAAAGTATGTAAGGTTATCTTACGTTCAGAGTTTCAGACAACTTCTATAGAAAACTAATATTTCTAATTATTATTTCCATTTTATCCTCCAGTATCCAAAGAGATTGTAAGTCTTAACGCAAAACTAGACAATGTTAATCGCACGATTTAGGATAGTACGGCAGCAGCTGTCCAACAAATCACGAAAAAGTGTACCGAAATCACCATTGCAAACAGCTGGAAAAAATCACCACTAGCGCTTGGATATAATAGTGGTGAAAAGCTCAAATACCGCGGGGCGGCTGGAGCACTGTAATATTCCTGCTTTTAAATATCACCGCACAATATCGTTACTAATGCGCTAGTGGTGAATACTCCAGCTGTTCTGGTCATATAATTTGAGTGTCACCTTAAAACGATCTCGTCGTAGGAAGTTGGGTCCCCCCAATGTCCCATACTATTACTCCCATACTATCTTTAATCGTGGTTAACTGCGGTAGCAAATTGATATTTTGTACGATTCTTGCGATGCCGTCACGAGAATAGATGGCGACACTACACATTCTATCGTGTCTAAATTTAATACCCAGTGAACCACGACGGACGCCGATTACGATTTAAAATAATATCTTAAAATATCATAATATTATTGGTTTCCAAAGTGAATACTCTCGGAGGGATGAGCGCAGTTTATCGCCAAAAATTAGCAGTTCAGAATAGGAAGGATTCGAGGACCACAACTAGCGCTCACTGTGTATATAATTACAGTTCTAAATCTTGTAACTTACAACTTTATCTCTCACAACTTGGGCGCTAGATGCCCTTCCTCGAGTACTAATCGAAGATCAAAATAAATGCTCTGTTGAGTCTATAAAAAATAAAGATTAGATTAGGTTATAGGTTAATAGGTACTATTATACATAAGTGTTGAAAAACCTGTATAAAATCAATTGTGGGCACCATGTAGATGCAACGCCAAAATTATGTTGTCCCTTCTGCCTCTTTAATTAGGATATTGTTGACTCTTTGTTAATTTACGGCGTTTATAATGCAGATATTATCCACCGGGAGCGCTAAACTGCCAATTTTGTTATTATTCTAGTAAACTAGAAAAATATATTTTTAACAAAATCAAATCTTGGCACGGACAAGGACAACGTTGAGCAGCTAGTGTAATATACATTTTTTATTTATTAGAATAAATGGCATACGCCTTTTGGAACGATATGAACAAAGTGATACAAATGAACAATCTTATGATAAACAAAAGTAAGATACATCAAAATAAATTGTAAAAACATTTATGTATACATTTAACATACCTTTAACATAAAATATATGTATAAATTGTTCATTTTATACCCAAACATCGACATGAGTTTGACCAACCAATAATCAACTTATGATCAACTTATTGTATTATTCTGTGGTATGATCAACATGACCGGATTTTTTGCTTTAACTCTCATGCCTAGTAATTATCCGATTTCGAACAATTTTTTGAAAAAGACATGCTTCTTACTGGGTGCATAGAACTTGGATTAAAAAAATTATATTTTTAAATCATTTAATTCGGTTTTTAATACTACCAACGTTCACAAACTTTTGTTTTAAGCAATCTAATCAAGAATCTGATTCCAATGCGTCCTGTAGTACATCATACAAAATTCTATCTTTATTACGAGTCGTATAAGGGGTTTTTCGCCTATAAAATAGTGTTTTTTAAAAAATCACTTATTACATTTTTGGTATTATTATATAATTCTTAGAATAGCATTCTGTCCCGAACTATGCAATTTAAAATATAAATGGTGTCATTAAAAAACTAAAATACATAAAGAATGATAACGATAAAAAAGATATTATTTTCAAAAATGTTGTTTTGCGGGTGAACACTTAAAGTTATGTAGCAAAAACTTTTCGTTTTAATGAGTGTTTAGTGTTAAAAGAATCTTCCTGTAATAGTTTAATTATAGGTTAGGACTTAATACCTATACGAGTTACGAGTATAGGTCGACACACGTCTGCAAACATTTTTTTGGTGCTATTCCAGTTACAAATACCTATAATCTATACGGCTATATAATAATAATATGATACCTTTTTTCCACTTTAAAGTGCCGACAATGTTTAGTATGATTTCGATTTGTTGAATCGATACTTTACATAGGCGTGTTTAAAACAATTTCGCAGATCTGGCTAAAAGTATTTTTATTTTTGTAAAGTCCATTGAATAAATCAGTTTCTCCCTACATAAAAAATTTGTTTTTAATTAATTCAAATTCACAAGTCTGTCCGTTGTCGGAGTGATGGCTAAACTTGTATAAGCACGAAAATATTGTTTTTGATCTAAATTGTTGTTAAAAACAATAATACAATTATTTTTACTTTGGTATTGTTTGAATTGGTCGAGTTTGGTTGAAATTTCGATCGAATGTTTTACTTTGACTGGAAAATATTACGTAGTTTTTTTTTTTGTAATTTATATTTATAGTTTTTAACTAATAAGTGTCTTACTAATTTCCCTCTTAAAAATGGAGGGCCCGAGGGAAATCCTCTCTCTCGTCAAATTTGGTCCTAGTACATAGGTACCTTACTATCATCTATAATCTATATATAAAAGAATCTAACTTGATTTTGGAGACGAAGGAAACCGGTTTTGAACCCTCATTATAATAATAATAATAATTAACTAATTACCAATTATTTTCATTTATCCACCGATAACGATGTCTGTTTCTTTTTTAAATTTTTTTTTTAAATTTTATAATCGTTGCATTATTTGTATAGCCAAAAAATAGTCTTATGTTTTTAAATTAAATTATAAAAAAATAATTTCTTCCGGAGGATGTCGGGCAGCTAGTTAATTATAAATAGGTATTTAAATTTTTCTATTTTTATGGATAAATGGCATTCGGTTATTGATAAAAATATATATTATAATAATTATAATTGTAAACATATATTACCTATATCATTTATATTTTATATTATAAGTATATAAATATAAATACCTAAAAAAATTACCTTAGATTATATGATCACTACTTAATATAAATTATAATTAAAACAAGAAAAGCTATAAATGAAGCTAATTCCTAAATAAGCTATAGTGATAGATCTTCTAAATGACCGATCTTCTATATTTCTTTAGATACAACACCCATTACTATTATTTATCAATACAATCAATGCTAACTATAATTTATTATCATTAATTATTAAATTTGGTTATAGTTTATAAATGATACTTAACAAAGAAAAGAAAGTATTGTATTATTTAAAAATTAAATTCATAAATATTGTTAGAGAATTTCAGTATAGCGTATTTAAGTATTTAGCATCTTACATCTCCGGGGTAACGTGTTTAACTACCACCATTGATTTTATAATAAAATATATAGTAAAATCAATGTTACCTCTTCTTCAAACACTGCGACCGTTCTTGGAGCCGTGCAGAGTGCAGACATTGATTTAAAACATGCATTTTATAATATAAATTGTAGTCTAATCTTTAATATGTATGTTTAATAATTGTATTATAAATTATTACACAGTGTTAAAAAAACTTATGTTTAAATACAAATATTTTACATTACCTTATTTTTATTTTTTAGTATACCTTATCTTAATAATTTTAAAATAAATAAGAAGGTATAATTCTGAGGTTATTTTAAAAAAATTGATAAAACAAAAACAGGAAATACAAACATCATATTAAATTTTTTTACCATTGTATGTAGGTTAGATATTATGGAAATTCCATCAAGCATCAACAAGATTTTTAATATTATAAAATTCCAAAAATTAAATTATTCAATATTTATGTCTCTATAACTATATATTTTCAATTATTAATATGAATATGTACTACATGAAAACCAAAATCCTAAATAAAAAATAATGTATAATGAATAATGTCGGAGTACCTATACTACAATAGATAGGTATATACTATACTTCAATAGTCTTAAAAAGCGATACTAGCTTGGACACTCGACGTTGCCCGAGCCAAAGATTTGTATAATTAATAAAATTGTATTTATAAAAAAAGGTTGGTACCGCTCTGATGTACACTATTTTTACAACATTGTCCAACTCGCTCAATTTTTCATCATGGAGTAAATTTCTTAATTTGTTACAAATAAAAGATACTTAAATTTTTTTTTTTTGTTTATTCAAATTAATTGTTTCAATATACTTAGTATTATTACAATGTAGCTTAAATTAACATAATGTATAATATATTTAATATAAATATTAGCTATTTGCTTATCTAACTATGGTATATGTGATTTAATGTAAAGGTTTAATCGGTAATCCGAACAAATGTAATTATGGGGAAATATTGTCTTTGGCAATGAGAGTATTTAGTATTATGGAGAGATAAGAGGATTGATTAATATATTTATTTTATCATTTTTTATACTTGATAAAATTTTCAAAATATTTAGGCTCGTGTTGAGCTTAGTTTTTATTTCTATAAAATATGTCAATACAATTTCATTCGTTGGGTAAAAAATCTTGAAAATTTAATACAATATTCCTTTTAAGTTTTTATTATAGCAGATGATAAATATTATTATAAATCAATATAGGCACGGCTTATCTATAAGTATTTAAAGCTAAAATGTTGACAAATATTATCAAAATCTCGAGCATTTTCAAACTAATTTGTAGTTAAAAAATTGTGTAATATATTCAATTTTTATAGCTACGAATTTAAAAAAATAAGTCTCATAAAAAGTTCATACAATAACCAAAAAAAAAATATATAAACTCAGTTATTTTTACAGACATTTTAAGTTTAAAATTTGAACGAAATTACATATTAAAACCAAGAATAACGATTTTAGTTATTTATAGCTGTTATTTAAAAATATTATTCATGGATGGGTACTAGAGACTGTTAGAGTATATTACTACATTGTTAATAGTACACACACAATGCCATTTTCAAATGAAATTGTTTTGGAAAAAATTAATTTAATCTACTAGGGTACTAATTTTCCCAAATATTCACATGTTATTACAAATTCTATGTT